TGGCAAAGTGTGACATTTTCCAGTGCTGCATTTAATTGGTTAGAATACATTTGTTTTAAGATTCAGAGCAATGAACATAACTCAACTGAACATATATGATGAAACATGATGCTGCTTCACCTGAAATGAAACAGGTAACAGAGATAACTCATATTGATAACAATACAGCGGTTCTGTATTTGTGTTATATATTGGGCTATATCATGTGGATGAAGCGGGGGCGGATAGAAGTATTTTAACTTCATCGTCCTTCTTTGTCTTGCTCATTTCTGCCTTAGAGGCATATGCTTTTCCTGTTGTGTTGTCTCCCCTCTTCCTATTTGACTTTGATGTAGTAGATGTTTACATCTGGACATCCATGACACAATCTTTGGTACAACATGGTGTTGTCTTGTCTTTGTAGTTTCCTGCCCAATCCCAGGACCAGGGTCTACCTGAGGAGACTCAAGGGGAATGTCATGTTCTGCCAATAGCTTATTTGATTCATAAGTTGGGATAACTGTTCATTGCTCTGCTTATTACAAAATACATTTCATAGGCATGCTTCTAAGACCACCTTAGTATACATTTTCCTTTTCCTGTTTCATTTTATTCTCCTGAAGTTTAATCTTTTTACAAGTTGAGTTAGATGCATGAAACGCACGCTGTTGTGTTTGTTTACAGTGTTATTATTTTGTATCTTTTTTAAATTGTTGGTTTTCTTTCTTTCCCTCTGGACTTGAGAGCTTACAAATATACTAACTGCTGCTGAAATAATAATATGGCATATTGATATTACATCTAGACATTCAATTCAAAGACTTGATGGCCTGCTGGACTGTCACTTTAACACTAAGTCATACAACATTGCTGCTTTGATTATAGTCATTCAAATCAAAGCATGTTGTTGTAGTAAATCTTAACTTTTAGGAATATGTCCCATCTTTTAATCATAGCAATATTGTTTTTCATCAACCAAATGTTGACACTAGTTGAAATGCTGATGGCTGTTATTGATTATAAAATGATAGCTTTGTGTAGGACTTCGGAGGCAGCCCAGTGTTTCTCAGCAGCATAACTGATCAGGGTCGTACAAACACAGTTACTAGTTACAGTTAGTATGAAGCAAAGAGCTTCAGCATCAATGTGTGAACACCATGCAACACTGTCAAGCACTTGTTCACGCACTCACACATCTATGGCCACTTTATTGCTGCCACTTTATTGCTGCCTCTACATGCTGCGAGAGGCAGCACGACAGTTAGGGATAAATGACATCTTTATAAAACCATAGCCTTGTAAAGATTTCACACATTTTTGTTCGGAACAGCCCGACCTGTAGTTTCATGGCCTCCCACATAAATAAAGTGCCAAACTCATCTTTAGCAGTAGCCTGGTAATGTGTTTGTGCAGCCAATCTCTCAGTCCGGAGGCACCATCCTGTTTAGTATGAAAGCTTTTTGTACTCAGTATAACAATTAAATGTTATATTCAAACCTACAGTATGAGTGCAAAATATGTGATTCTCACTCGCTTAGAAAGGGACTCAAAAAAGACTTTTGTTACAAGATCGATAATGTCTTCAAAGCATAGAATATGTTGGCTGGACCATGTCATGTACTTAAGAAAGAATGAATATCTGGAAAATAGGGGCAACAGATAGGCCTACACTAAGGGTCATACAGATCCATTACATTTTAATTTGAAAGACTCAGACCACCCACGACACTTTTTATTTTCCTAGTGTTATGCCTTAGTGCAATAGAAAATACTATACAGTTTGAGTCTTCATGTTTACATTTATTTTGCATTCACACTGAAGGTGGTGAAACTCAAAAATACTACATTGACATTTTGGAATATTTCATTCTAATTTTCATATCGGCAGTTCAAAAAGCTTCCACAGTTTTGTGTTTTGTTTGCCTGTGTTTTAGTTTCTTTTCTTTTCGTTTGCTTGATCCGTTCCCCCGTCCATGTTATTGTGCTCCCCTCCCCCAACAGCCCCATCCGCCCCCCCTCAGGATGTACACCTGGTCAGCCTGAGCTCCACCAGCCTCAAGGTGAGTTGGGTGGCCCCGCCCGCCGCTAGCCGCCACGGCGCCATTGTGCGCTACACAGTCAGCTACCAGGCCATGGCGGGGGAGGACACGGAGCGGCATGAGGTGCCAGACATCGGAGCAGACGCCTCCAGCCTATTGCTGGAAGGCCTGGAGAAGTGGACTGAGTATCAGGTGTGGGTGAGGGCTCACACTGACGTGGGCCCGGGCCCCGAGAGTGCCCCAGTGAGGATGAAAACCAGAGAGGATGGTAGGTGGAGACTCCATGAAGCAGAGCGCTCTGAGACTCTTTCTGCTTGGGGCTGCCAGTCATTTTCTTCCCTAACTCTTTTTAACTTCTACTGCAAATGTCTGTGTGGCCTGATGGTCATTTCTGAGTCAATGATGGTGGTAGCAGAGAGGGTCGCCTTCTCTTTTTCTCTTTCCAGCTCGCTTTCTGTAGCTTCACCACTTTACATCTTTGGCAGGTGAAGGCTCATCGCCCCAGGCCAGAGCTCTGCACCACTCTCCTCTGCTCTCCCTGTTTGAATGCTTCTCTTGAGTTCTTTCTTCTGTTCTGAGGAATAGAAGTGGAGCAGATCCCACCCCCCCCACACTCCGTTCTATCGCTCTTGCCTCTTTTTCCTCACTCTTTCCTCGTTCTGTTGATCGAGAGCGGCTGTTCCTAGGAGAGACTTGTCTATAATTAATGTGTTTGATGTTTGCTGCAACACAGCTAATTTCATACTGAAATTAAGGGCATTACAGACATCGCTAGACCGCATGGTGTCCCGCATAGGGTGCTTTGGGGACACAGTAGACATAGAAGAACTGAGTAGAGATGATTTTGATTAATGGCCGAATCTCGTATCACTTCATTCTAAAGAGCACCAAAGACTATAAAAAATACTCAGGACTCATTATTTTTGTTTTTGGCGCCTCATCGCAAAGTAACAGGGAAGTGAGGAAAATAACTAACTCAGCACATTTTCTGAGTCTCTCTGACTGTCTGTCTCTCTCTTTCGGTCTACATTCGGCTTTCTCTCCCTCACTTGCCCATCTGTTTTTTTCTGGTTTCCAGTGCCGGGAGCACCCCCCAGGAGGCTGGAGGTTGAGGCCATTAACTCCACAGCAATCCGGGTAACCTGGAAGCCGCCCCTGCAGGGGAAGCAGCACGGCCAAATCCGAGGCTACCAAGTCATCTTCTCTCGGCTGGAGAACGGTGAACCTCGTGGCCAGCCTAACATCATGGACGTGGCTCTGCCAGAGGCACAGGTACTGGATGATGTCTTATTCTTTTACACTTTCTCTTTCGATATCTGTCTTATGTTCATTTCCCATTATTTTCATTCTCCACCGCTCCCGTATTCCCTTCCATTCTGTGAGTTCACACTTCATTTCCCCCGTAACGGGTGACACACATGGACATTTCTTTCCGTTGACTGCTGTACCCCCGCCCCCCTTTTTATTTTTCCATCTTTCTCCACATGTGACATTTGACTCTAAATTGGTACCCTGCTCCCACAGCTTTGGATTAGCTGTCGTAACAAGATCCATTCTAATTATACAGTAATAGCTATTAAATATTTGATATGTGTTACGTCGGGATGGGGCTTAGTGGAATCAATGCACCTCTTTTTGCGGGCTTTAGCAGTAATACATATGCACTGCCTTGTTACCATGTTTATAAATTAGAGTTATTTTCCGACGCCGCCCTCTACACATTAATGCAAGCTGCTCCGAATCGCCCAAAGCTATGTGACACCATGAGATGGATGAGAGATTGTAATCCTTAAGAGGGATTCAGAGATTCATGAATATTTTAAAACCAAAAACCCCACTCTCACTTTTTCCCTCTCTCCGGGAGAGGAGAGACCAGCTTAAGAGCCTCCTTCGGATTGTTTGCCGGGAGTAACATTTGCGCGAACACGCATTCACTCGCACCCCCGATGGCCTCACAGAAAAACATCTAATTTGAACAAGTAAGCGCTCCCTGGCCGCAGGAACACATCACAGAAAATCTGAACAGCCTTGCATGTCTCTCTGAGCAGTGTTTGGTGATAAATGCTTTGCAGCAGCATTTAGGGAGACCAACAGGTTGCTGGTTCATTCCCAGGCAGTGCACACTGCTGTGCCCTTGAGTAGAGCTATTAACCCTAATTTTCTTTGTCAAACACCCCGCTGTCTTAAGTCTTACCGTTGCAGAGGAGGAAGCACTGTCAAAGTCACCTTGGAATGATGCGTCAGATGTGATACCCCCAAGTGACGCTAAGCAGACTTTGCAGATCCCAGTTGTGTAGCCGGGAATTCAGTGATAAATACATAATGACTAAATTGGTGTGTTGTTGTAAAGCCACCCAAATGGAATATCTCACATGGGAATTTAAAGTAAAGAAATGACTGCAATTTTGGCAAGATTTCACTTGGATAACTTGCTTAGGTGAAGCTCTGGTTGATATTACCTGTCCCTGTCTTCACACCTGGCCCTTTGTTTTGCAGCAGTATTTTTCTGGCAGCTGCTGCTAACAGTTCATTGTTGTCTGACTGTGTACCAGAGGGCCTGACAGCCAGGACAGCATCATTGTTCTGAAGAAAAAGTCAAAAACATGGGGGCCGCTTGTCTTCCTAGAAGCGCTTTGGACATGTTTAGTGTGACTTTGTTTTGCGTTATGAAGACTGAACTTAACTGAACATGACCCTACCTGTTGTGAAAACAATATGTCTCTTCCCTGCCAGGTTCAAACAATAAACAATAAGACACACTCCAACTTGGCACTCAAGGAAGCTCTCATGATCCAGTTTGAAGTCCAGGACACTTCACAAACTCACAGTTTCCCCCCCTGGCAAAAACAGGATTTTTTTCCCACCCTCCTCCTTTGTTATTCCTTTTCTCCTTATCTCTAACTCCCCTCCCTTTTTCTCCTGTCCCCCTTTTGAACCCGTCCTGCCTGTGAGGCCCGTTGAATAATTACCAGAGGCTTGCGTGCAGGTTGGTTACCCTTGATTGAGTCATCTCAACAGATTGTTTTCTATGAGACAACGCTGAGTAGCCAACTTGCAAGGACCTGCCCGGACGTCACTACAGACCGCACAGTCCGCTGACGCTCCCTTGGCCACGTTCAACCAACTGGATTTAGAACAATCCCTTTTTTTCTCTCAAATGTCTTTCCTTTCCCGTACCCTAACAACAAGTTGGAAAAACGACCGGTTAGCATGAACAGACATGCTCACCGTTAGATCAACCTTGGCAAGTAAGTTCATGACTCATCCCAGTCTCATGCAAATGGCACAAATGCACACCTGTAATTGATGATGAATAACAGGAAGAAAACAATTGACTTCTATCCTGCCACATCCCATAGTGACTCTGCCTAACGTGTTGTGAAATCAGTTCCATATCCACCCTTTTCACCTGCAATGAATGCTAAGTAAGCCTGCCAGGGGGGGAAAGAAAGAACTGATTTTCCAGGGCTTTCACAACATAACACAACCTCACCTTAGGGTTCAATAACAAATCTGAGCAGACAGATTGGATTGCAGATTCTGTCAAAATGGCTATCACCTCTCCCCTTGTCTTTGTGTCTCTGTTTCGAGCTCCTTCTCTCCTCTTCACCCTCTCTCAGGGTTAGCTGAACGCTGTGAGGAGAGCTTGTCTGTGCGTGGGTGTTTTAAGCGCCTCTTTTCCTTTCAAGCAGGAGCCCACACAGCGCCCTCATTTCCCTGCTAAATTTAAACCAGAGGCCATGTTAACATTACGACGTTATCAACCTCTTTCTAACCATGCTTCTATTGGGAAAGTGGCCTGAACCTGAGTGGGCAGCTCCACACCACATAGCCTGCTCCATCACTATGCATTCATAGCAACCACCAGGCTCATGTGTTTCACATAGCCGTCTGTATAAGTTGTCCTAAAACGGCGTGATTGAGTTGGAAGCCGTTAACCCAACCGTCTGCCTTTCTATACATTTTTTTTGCACAAGTTAGCCTTTATCTAGCAATACTTTTCCAGCTTCATTTTGTTTGACCACTCATGCGTTTTTGTAGTGTGTGTGTGTAGGAGCGAGCGAGCAAGGCAATGCCTCACTGCGTCTGCGGCCTTCAATGCCTCAGATTGAAGTTGAATGTGAATCGGGGGGGGAAAAAAGAGAAAAGAAGCACCTCAGCCCGTTTCACTCCATCAATCATGACAGCTCCTTCTCTTCCACATCACTCGCTCCCATTTTTATAGCCACACATCTCAGCCCATGTCATCACATTTGCATTCACCCGCCTGCAAATTATACCGCTCCGTTTCCACAAACGACGCTTATCAGCAATGATGTGTTTTCAGCTTGCGTTGGGATTCGAAATATAAATGGGGGATAATTTATAATTCTCCAATGGATCCAAGCAGAAAGCAAAAGCAGTTGCGATAGAAAGGGATTAGTCCAAGATGAGATAGGAACTCTTGCGAACCTTAATGTGTTCGCTGCTCTGTTGACATACTGAGTGGAGTCGACGGTAAACAAATTAAGCAATTAGGCAAGTAGCAAACTGTTATTCATGGAGTTAAGTAGCAGCTGTTCTTAAATGCTACTCTTTAGTGCCCCGCTACGTCAGGGGAGCACGAGGCAGCACTTTTTGATGCAAGAGTCTCAACCGGTCGCAACTGGGACAAGACAAAGGCGTAGCTTATGCTTCAGTTAGCTGGTTCCTGATAAAGAGCCTTCCACATTGGAGGAGGGCGGAGAAGTTTGGTCTTTTGTCTTTCCATATGCCAACAGTCAATGGAGGATGATAAACACGTCCCTCTAGTGCACAATGAATCAGCAGTGTGTGAGGCTCACTCCCTTTCTACAAGTCTGGAGAGCAAAAAGGGAAAGATGGGCAGGCACCACTGCTGAATAATGTCTGGAAAGGCATGCGTGGACTGTCTGAACTTCATGTTGTTCTTTTTAAAGTTCAACTAAAATAAAAATAAGACAGCATTTCTTGATTACGTCTAATGATATCTTCATGGTATCTAAAGTGTTGTTATAATTGCTACATTTTTAAGACACGCATCTGCCTCAAAGTCTGAACAATATCTGATGGTACTTACTTGTTGTTAAGGGCCTCCCAGTTTCTATTCTTTGTAAATACTTTAGCTGCAGAAAAGGTCAACTTAGAAGAAGACTTTGCAAAGAAAATGTCTCAAAAGAAATAATCAGAACATTTGTATTTTATGCAACAGCTGCATAATTTTACTCTCATGGTCAAAAATGGTCTGATTCTAAATGTTTGGATGACCGACTCAATTTCGTGAGCATTGCTTTTTTGTTAGTTTTGAACTTTTCAGGTAAACACAATCTTTGAAGTGGTGCTTTAAAGCCTTACACTATTGCTTGATTAGGAACTTGTTCATAAAGACCTCGATTAAATCAAGCAGTTGATTAGTAGAACAAATCACAAGAGTGTTAGTCTTCTATTCATTTATTTAGTTGCGGACACTATTTTGCATTGCTGCCCACTTCACCAGCAGCTCATGTTGTAGTTAAGCACTAATGTCCGAATGTAATTGCCTGCCGACCGCACTCTAACCCAGTGCTTCTCAAACTTTTTTCAGTAATGTACCCCCTTTGAAACATTTTCTCAGCCAAGTACCCCCTAACCGACCCCAGACATTTAGTGATGCTCCATCAGTGTTTGATCTATTAACTCCTTAAAGCATAAATTACAACAAACTAAGGATATTTTCATCTTTATGCATGAAAACAAATATTTTTCCAAGGAGTTTTTCAATTGAATTAATATGTTTAACAAACCAATGAACAAAATGAAAATGAATTATTAAAAACTATAAATACAATACACAAATGTAACATGTTTATATGAGGACCCCCTTAGTGGTTCTAGGAATATTTTATATAAAATTGTGTTTTCTATTTAACTTATTGTACTAAGATTATTTTTGTAATCATGCATGGTATTTTTTTAATTAACCTTTTTATTTATTTTCACCTCACGTACCCCCTGCAGTACCCCGACGTACCCCTAGGGGTCCGCGTACCCCCATTTGAGAATCACTGCTCTAACCCATCGTCCTCCCTAAGCCCCCTCCCTTCTATGTTCTCCATTTGGTCCTACATCAGTGTCACCAGTGCCATCTCTCCTGCCCCTTGTCAGCCGGCCCCCCATCAGTGAACTCCTCTACAGCAGCTCAACTGTGGAGCGGGTTTCTAGTAAACACCAGCAGTTGCGTTCTGCATCGACGGGGTTTGATGTCACAGGGCTAGCATAGCAGCGCTAGTAATAGGATTTCACGCTCGGCACCGACGGAGCCCCCGCGGCACGAAATGGGCTTTCACTTCCCCCGGGAATCACTTGGCCGAGCACTTTGAAAACATATTGAAATATAATGAATAAAAGGCCCTTGCTCCATTTCTGGAAAGAGGAACTGCTTCAGAGATTCTGCATATTTTATGTCCACAATGAGATCATTATCATACTGAATGGAGGTGTTCTGTGATTAAGGGAGAGAGATTTTTTTATTACAGGTTAATGAGAAACAAGGCAGTGCATCATAAACAACAATGAGTTTAAGAGCCATCGCTCAACTTAGCCACACAATTTGTTTTTACCACTTACCTTTTTACTCCTTCACTTCCATCCCTGTGTGTGTTTGTGTTACTGCATGACTCTGTTTACACCTACATTCATCTATCTTTAAGCGAAAAAAGACAAGTGCTTTTTTTCCCGTTGTGTTGTACAATAGCTGCCCACTGCTCCTAGTGCTAGACTCCTGGTACTAGGATGGGTTAAATGCAGAGACCAAATGTCACTGTGTGTGCTGTGTGCTCTGCATGTGTGACCATTAAAGAGGGTTTCATCCCTCCCAATTCAATTCTATGACTAATTTCTCTCCCCCATCCTTTGTCCTGTGTCATCTCTCCCTTCAGTGGAATATTGAGGAGTGCACCGAGCATGTGAGTAACCCTCTTATTTTATTATAAAAA